AAAGACACCACAAAGCATTTTCTCAGTATTTATGAGGGTGGAGAGGCAGGAATAATTGGGCACTCAAAGCTTGGTTTGTGTAATAGCACGGGTCTGTTTCAGATTTGGTCAGTAGCCGCTTGAATCCAGAAAGAACTGGAGAAGGTAAAAACCAAAGTTGCATTATCAGGTTTTGGTCACATTTCAACTTGACATTTTTGTCACGATATCTGTCTTCTGAAACGTACTAACCTCTGTGGAGGTAGCGTGCTCCCCTCCCTGCGAGCAGACTGCAGGTGAATCAGTGCCAGCTGCACCTGACTTCTTACCACCAGCAGACAAAGCTTCCAGGTCTCCATGTACAAGCAATTCCATTTATTTACATCAGCACAAGCTGTCCTCCACTTGGGTTTGCCTGAAGAGAGCATTCACCCTTTACTGCTTAGTCTAATTACTGACTCAGACTAATGGCTCATTACAGATTCAAATTGCTCAGTCTACTGGCTGCACAATGAGGCCATTACCATTTTCTAGAGGTAAGACTCTTGGAAACCAGCAGGAAGAGAGCCACAGAAGGGGCTGACTTGCCCACAATTGCAGTAGAGAATTTCCCTGCAATGAAGCCTGCCTTTAAGACCATTTCTCACAATTAGACCCACAAAGAGGAACCCAATTCTAGATGTTTAATTGACAGGAATTTTAAGTTGTTCATCTTAAGTTCCTCAAATTGCTTCAGTGTTTTCTTGTAGACTGCAAATTCATTGGGCAAAGTTTTTCACAACTCCATACAAGAGTCATCTCTACACGTAAGGATTGTAAATGTAATAAGAGCTCAGCCCAGGCTTTGCCTTCTGTGGGGCCATCAGAACTTACATTTCACCAATATCACTGTACCCACCCCAGGTTTGGGAACTGCAGATGCTATTGGCAGCTTTTGCAAGAGGAAAACAAAGCAAGTCAAAGTAGGCCTGAAACTTTATGCATTGCAAGAAACTTTATGAAAGAAAAAGGGAGTTCATACCACTCAAGATTCATGACTGACACTGACAGTTTATCCAGCCCGTATTTACCCTCTACTTGCATCATCTTTTAATCCCAGGTTATAGAACCAAGCTTCCTTTCCCATTTCCTTCACTCAGTTGATTTAAAAATGGTATCAACACCTCTCAGTGTCCAGAACAGTTAACTACCACTAACAAACCAGTATCCCCACTTCAGGTTTTTTCTTCTTCACTCATTTCCAATCTCTCCACTTTTAATTCACTCAGTTTCTAGTTTTAATAAGGAAGACCAAGTGACTTTATGGGGGAGATAAGCAATGACATGACTGCTTTTTACATATCTCTGTCTCCTGACTAGCCTACTTTTTAAAAACTGCTTGCAAAAGACACTTACTCAGGGCTGCAATACGTCAAATCTGTAGCTTTGAGCTCCCTAAAGCCCCAGCATTCCTCAGATAAAGAGTTTTGTTTTGTTTCGGTGTTTGCTTGTTTTGTTTCAAATGTGTGGCACAATTTCCCTTTGGCTGGAAAGGAACTTTCTGCATTCTTTAGGCAGGGAAGAAATCCAGTCATGTTGGCTCCAAGGATGCCTTTCACTGCTTCTTAAAACATTAAGAACCTCCCAGTGGGAGAGAGGGGGGAGATACAGCCCTGGAGGGTACAGTGTGCATCTTCCAAGTCTCTCAGGCCTTTCAAACTAAGCAACAACTGGAGTAAATTAGTGCAAGAAGCTCCTTACAAGAAAGGATTGTACAAGGAACAAGTTGGAATAAGGAACAGACAGCAAGAGAAATCTGCAGGTTCTGGATATCCTAATCCCACCCAAGAATAACTGTGTTTCTGACAAAGGTCCTGGAAACTTGTTCTTCACTTGCAGCCTGAATTCAGCATAGAAAGAACAGTGGTAAGTGTCTAAGCTGCAAAGTTCACACACCAAGCACATCCTGGAAAACCTGGGTTTCCATTCTACCTCATACAAACATGCCTCCATCTCCTCAGGCCTGGGTCTGCTCTGCCTTCCAGCAACAGAGCACGTCTCAGACACAGAACAAATCAATACATTCTTTTTTAAAGTTTTAAGTTCAGTGCCAATTTAATTTGATTTAAATTACCTTACAGGGCAAATTGTATGAGTAACTGGCATTGCATCATAGAGCAATAGCAGCAATGTAAACACGGACAACCAGAGCATGGGCTTTAAAAATAAAGAGGATTTCTTGCCAGCACCCTTGCCTGTTCTCTGCAGAAAGCTCCACAGAACCACTTCTAGAACTACATGCCAAGGCATGTGACTATAAAGCCATTTCATTTTCTTTTCATCAGTAGTGAAAGACCCTGCGAGTGGAACTGCATGTTACCTCACATCTTCTGGTGACTCCCTCATACCAACTGACCCACAGAAATTAAGGCTAAACAAGATGGAAAAGAGGCCAAAACATTTTGAGAAAGAGAGTGAATATCAATAGCCAGCCCTTTTCTCATTCCAACATTCATTTGTCTCTTCTAAAGGACAGCTAATATGCTAGTAAAGTCTTCCTTTTCATTAATTACCAACAGCTTAAGCCTACCCATCTGCACTGTTTCTAAGGCACAGCAGCCTCCATACAAAAAAAAAACCAAACCATTTTGCCCTGAAGACTTGAAAGGCACCAGCATCACACAAAGCTTATTAGCTCCATATTTTACATTCCTGTATGAACGGGACAAAAGAAATAACTTGAGAGTCTTAGCTATTCCTTTTCCTCCTTAGAGTGCCTATTCTGTGCCAGAGACCCTCATCCAGGGATGGAGAGAGGAGTCTGCTGTGCAGTGGGGAAAGTCCAAAAGCTCCCAAAACAGATAGCAGTTGCCCAAAGCGATATCAGAAGTTTCCAATATGTGCCTCTACAACAGAAGGTCATCACTGACCCAGTTCCTGTTGGACCCCTCCTCATCCTGCCCTTTCTGTCTTCTTGCAAAGAGCAATCTTTGTAGAAAGAGTCTGAACACTCAGCTGGAATAGACAGTTGTATGCATGCTGGCTAGCCACCAGTCTTCAGAGAAGCCAGAGCTCCAGTGACCACCTTGCTTCAATGAAGCTAGGCTGTTCTTGGTTCCAGCTTCCTTACAACAGGTCCCAATACTGGAATTTTCACTCAAGGTAACTTAAGAAAAAACACTGATAAGCAAGCCAAATTCATTCGTAGATTAGGCATTCGTCACTAGCCAAAAATGTAGTGCTAAGTCCATCAGATTTTAAACAAAGTTATTTCAGCTTCTAAAAGCCCTCTTGATCTTAAAAGACCTATTTAATAATTGGTCACAAGTGTTTTTCTAACATCACGGAGAAAGGCCAAAGTGGTTTGTGCAGGAGCTTCCAACAAATATGAACAGATTCAGAACTGGCGGGGACAAAGTTTACATGATTGCTTGAAGCATGCTGGCTCAGAGGGAAACATTTTCCTTTTGACAGCTACTGCATAGGATGTTTCTGCAGCCACATGACCAAGTGTACCATTCTTGAACTAGGATGCCACAGGCAGCACCAAGGAGAATCAATTTATATTACAAATTTTAGATTAATTCATTCCATTTACAGTTCTCTTGTTTTGCATGTTCCAACCTCTGAGTTAATAAAGGGAGTGAAGTAGAAAAACAAGTTCAGATGTTTTCCTCTTTTGCTCTTTCTTATGAAATCCAATGTCAGCTGCTTCTAATTCTAGAACAACAGACCAGGACTACTCAGGTAGGAAGCCTACAAACAATTCCCCCTCAAAAATAATGCAGATTTCAAGAGCTACTCGATTTGCTTGTACTTCAGGCTAGACTAGCAATGATTGCATTAACAGAATGATAACAATGCATTCAGGTGCCAGTTATACATTAACACACACAATTACAGGTTTAGAGACATATCCTTATCTAAAATAAGGAGCAGGCTCAGGCATTCAGTCTTTAAGTAGCTTTCCTTGCATCTTTCTTCTCCCTACTTTTTCGTAAGCTACTATACACAACCAATAGACTGGAGAGCAGATATGCTCAAAGCGCATCACTGCTCTGAACATAGTAATCCATCATTCCTATTAAGTGCTTTCTGGACTGGACTGACAGTCCCAGCATAGATGATGTTCTTCAAATTAAAGCGTTGGCATTAAGGAAGGCCTTTTCCTGCATTTTGAAGTGTCAGGAATAATTGGTTTAGAGAATTAACAGTAAAAATCCTGCTTCAGATATCAAAACAGGAACTTCTCCAAGGAAATAGCTTTTATCCTCACCAGCAGAATAAGGATGCATTCAGCACTGTTTTCCTGTAGTAAAGAGACAAACTCAAAAGTTGACTCTGAATGGGGGGGTAGAGGGGTGAAGGGTTGAAAATCAGCATGTGGAGAATGCCTAAAGACAAACTTGACCGGTCATCGTTGTATCCTTCGGTGGTCACCCCTCCCTAGACTATTTCAATGAATGCAAATCAGAGGACACAGAAGGGCTACGACACAGAAGGAGAACAACACATCTAGTGCCTTGCTCAGGAAAGGCAAGGACTGAAGAAAGGAGTGTAAAGGAGGGCCAATGCACAAGAGTGAGGTTTCCAAGCACAGCTAGGGTTGAATCCAACACTGCTCCAGCTGGCCAGAGGGTTTTATGCTCTGCTGAAACCCTCACCTTTCAATGCATATAAAGCCACAACCATGACATTGGCACTCCTGATTCCCAGTCTACTAGTCATATTGATAGCCTTCCTAACCTCTAGGGATTTTATTGAAAAACTCTCAGTAAACTTCAAGGTGAACAAGCACAGTGTGAACTCTGCTTTCAGGTACTACATCTCAGCTGATGAGCAGAGAGCATCATTTTCTGCTCCACAGGGTGTGCACAAACAGACTGTCATCTTATTCCTCCTACTGAGGAGAGATGTCTAAAGGTACATAAGCCTCCTGCACACCGAGCTGGTTAAGAACCCAGGTTCTGAATTATCTCAAGGGCCTTGACTGGACAGCTGCTATTATAAAACAAATTGCTGAAGCACAGGACTCCACTCACCTTTCCTTCCTGAATTACCCTGGCTTGATGGTTTATCAGTTACAGAACCTAAAGGGGAAGAAAAAGACATCTATTCAGATGTGGCATGATCACACGGAACATATAATTTCACATTAATACAGTCAATATCTCAATCCACAAAGCGTTGGCTTTACTTGCCAACAGCTCAGTTTCCAATTCAGAGAGCCTGTGGCTTCAACCAACTGGGATAGCATAAGGAAATTTTATGCATTAAGATGTTAAATCAGGATGAGGGCAAACAAGAAATCTTTAGTAGCTGGATCCAGTGATTTGAAAGAGCTCAGAGCAGCGTGCTAGTAAGAAACCTGGAATAAATCCAAGGGCAAGAAGAAAAGATCAATAAGAGTAATTTCTTTCATTTGCAAATGTCAGGAAGAACAAATCAAAAACAGGTGGGGAGAGTGTGCAGGGAATGCAAGGGGCAGTATTCTAAAGGAAAGGGATTTAAGTGGGACAATTTGCAGAAAATGTATTTCAACCACCCCCTGAACATCCCCAGCTGTTTGAAAAGGGAGACTGAATAAGATCCAGCATGTATTTGAATACGACACATCTTGGGGTTTTTAATATAAATTAGATCTTCATACAATATATGATTCTACACTTATTTCTGCAGTTTGCTTTAGTGCTTCATCATACTGTTTTCCACTAAAACTTGAACTGATAATAAAAGCTTTTTGAACAAATCCATTACCAAAGTGTATTAAAAAATCTATGACAAGCTTTTTTTTTTTTAATAGCTTTATTCCCTGGAAACTGATTCTTCTGTGCACCATTACTAAACAGTTCCAGTGATTACTTCAGGAAACAGGGATCAAAAGTCAGCTCCAAAGGAGGTGGCTCTGACAGGGCCAAGAGTCTGGACAAGACAAACTCTAAATGTAAACTCTATTGCCCAGGCACTTTCACTTGCAGATCAGTTCACCACAAATCTATTGCTGAATTACAGGTAGGAAGCACATACCTAATATTATTCATCATTGGCCTAACATCGGTGTGTCCTACAATACACCATGAATTTACTTTCCTGGCAACACAATTTCATGAACAGCTCAAAACTAAATGAACAGATCAGCAAAACTCTAAAGCATGTCCTACCAAAGCTATATACTGGAAATGGTGGAAGTCAGTCATATTCTAAGGTTTAAGCCAAATTACTGTGGCAATTCACCTTACACAAAACCAGGATATTAACCTTATTTTCTTTCCCTGTACCTGTGAAACACCAAGCATGCCCTCAAATTACATCGACTCACTGGTTCCCAGACAGTTCTCCCCACTCAAATCAAACCCTCACGCAAGTCACTCTGCTTATTACCACAAAACACCCTACAGCCAAGAGGACACTGAAAAAGGTGAGAAGGATTAAAAAACCAAGTTTGACTGCTGTCATGCTCACATCTAAAGGGCAAACACTGCAGGGCCATATGAAAACCCAGATCCCAATCTCATCCCATTTGAGCCATCGGCTGCCATATTGTATAGCAGGGAGAAAAAAAACCAAACATCATTCTGTTTTAAGTACAGAAAATGATTGATCTGGGCCCAGTAAGCCATAGGGCAACAGAGCCCAGAGTGTCAGGCTGAGAGCTCAAAAGCATGTCACTTAATAAACCCAAGAGTAACAGCCTGGCTCTGGACCTCCCTCTTGCACACTGTGGTGCAAGCCCAGTGCTGTCTAGCCCTATGACACAAACATGGGGATCCTGGAACTGAGCAACATGATCAGAAGACCCAAATCCATTATAACAGCAGGAGCCCAGATTTGGGGGCTAGTAGTCAACAACTACCAGTTTCTCAGAGCCACCTTAGGAAACTCTTAACTGACATCACTCTGCAGGCAAAATGACTCCATAGCCCACTCAATGCAGCCCAAGAACAACTTCTTTAAAATACAGCTCACAAAAAAAGTTATCCCAGCTGCTATAGGAATCTCTGCATTTGGAGTACACAGCAACACTGCAACAATCGCCTTGGCTACCACAGGCTGTTACCTTAGTGTTTTTTCTCAGTGAGCCTTGCAGGAGGGTCTGTACCCTAACTGTAGGGTGGATGTGCCACAGTCCAAGCTCCCTTACAGCTTCCAAATGCCAGCAAGCACACAGGGAGGTAGAGGCACAGCTGCAGTATTAAATTGGGTAAACTGGCTAAGTCACCTGAAAAGATCAAGCACTCTGAATAGGATGCGTTCTCCCCATCCCCCTTTGGTTATCAAATTAGTATTTGTTGAAGCCACTCCCACAGTACCTGAACATACAGGAGTTTTGTTCTGTACAGAAGAACCGCTAATAGGCTTGCCATCAGGTGTCACACACCAGCAGTATCCAGTGTAGGTATGGCACTGCACCTGTTTGATAAAACAAAGAGCAGGCATTTCATTTCTCACTATCACCCTTGACTTTTATTATAATCCAGCATCTTAATGGAAGTCCCAACCCAGACACATCACAAACACATGCTTCAGAGTGAGGAGGTCACGCAGAGAAGTACCTTTGATATCGTTAACTTTTCTTTCTCCCCTCGCCTCCCTCCCCAAAGAAAGGTAATTTCTCCTACTCCAACTCCTTTAGCTGCAATTCAAGAGGCAAAAGAAGTTACAAGTAGTTAGCTGAGAACACTACAGTTTGGGAATACAGCAGTTGTGTCTCAGCTCACACCACCCTCTGCTAAATCCCATTTACTATTTACCATTACGTAGTTGTCCCACTACTGGGATGAGGAAAGGCCACCCTGGCCCAATTCCACAGTCACTGCTTGAGAACAGCTTTCTGTGAGCATTTCAAGAGCATTTCATTCAGTAAACACGGCTGGAAAAATGCAACACTGATTTGTTATGTTAACAAACCCTCTCCAGACAGATTTAAGCTCATTCCTGTTACTATGTCAACCTAGGCAGTAGGAGCAAGATCCAACATGCTCTTCATGTATTGACAAGGACTTAAGAACATTTGATGAAGGCTCTAATGAGTCAAAAAGGTACACAGCACAAGATTCATCTTGCTTAACTTTAAAGCTCTACACCTGAACTGAACATCTAGAGTTGCCCAGTTCCTTCCTCCACCACTAGGAATGACTAGTTCAGATATGGAATTCTAAAGTGAGAATAGATAAATCCTAGTCTAGCAGACTATTCCGAGTAATATCTATGCAGATATTAGTTCAGTGGCAGTTTCATCCAATTTAATAAATCTAATTACAGCCTTTGCCCCAGCTTTCAGAGAGCAATCAAGCATTTGGATGAAGTTCAGGATGCCTTTTGACTTCCCTCGAGACACAAATAAACGATCATCATAGTCATCTGTGTAAATACTAACAGTTTCCAAGATTCTTTCTAGGATTCAAGCCACACTTTCAGTTGTGGTTGAGTGTGCACATCAGTACTTCCAGCACCTTGAAATGGTATAGAAATGCCTACATTACTATAAGCTAGAGATCATGGCTCCTTCAATCCATTTCTGAAAAAAGCCATGAAATGAGATCACTTCAGAAACTGCCTTTTTATTTTACTTGTAAATTGAATTCTGTCCATTCTCTCTTTTTTTTTCCCCTGCAAGTTCACTGAAGCCAATTTCCCATTCCAGTCCTCTCCATACAGAAGAGTGATGGGGTGTTTGTACCATTCTCTTTGTTAGGGATCCTTCAGAGCTAGAACAGTCATTCCCCCTTGCTGACAGCTTGCTCCGATTCCCTAAGGTAGCGGAGTTTGTTCACAGACTTAACAGCAGTCTTTTTTAAAGGCTTTGAGTATCACATAAAACATGATCTAAGAGCAATTATTACATGGTACCAGTGTTTATCTTGGGTTTGACTAAAGTGCAAAGCAATCATTTTGCCTCAAGCAAATTAACTTTTAGCAGCCAAAATGAACAATAATCTCACGTACTCATGTCACTAAAGTCACTGTCACTGCTATCTGCACATTTTCATTTTTATTCTCTCAATATATATCACAAAATTGATTGCAAATTGCTCAAAAGCACTATGAATTTAATTAGCAATAATCAAGTTGCAAAATATTTCTTATTGTTCAATCTAATCAACTGCACATTCAAAATAAGTGTGATGGAACTGCTTTGTTTGCTGTGTTTAGTGTTTATCTCTGCTGATCACACACACATTACTGCATTCCCAACAGCACAAGAAGCTGTCTTTACATCTAAGCATTAATTGTAAGAATCTTACCCAGAGATGAAGCCAAATTCCAGGATAGGGTCTTGAATTCGTAGGGCAAGACCACTCCATGTTACATTACAGAAAAAATCCAGTGTACCCAGCATTAAAAAAATTCAAATGTTAGTGACTTGATAGTCCTTCAGCCAAGCCTTTTCAGAAAATAAACTACATGGCAGAGGAGTCCAAAAAATGTATTGACATAAAGTTAGGACAGATGCATTAACTAACATGTTATGCAACTCATCTCAATGGAGAGCTACCAATTACATACACTCATTTATGCAAGCCAAGCACATTACATCCATAAAAGCAAAATAATTTTGTAAATAAGCTAGTGAAGGCTGGTCCTTGGACTGCTATCCCGTGACCCTTTTTTCTCCCTGCCACCGTTAAAAAAAAAAAAACCAACCTCAGATTGACAGCACTTTCACAACCACTACGTGTTATAATACAGCACCAAAGGACTTCCCTACTACAGATAATAGCAGCAATGAAGTCTCAGCCCTTATTCAGACAACTACCCTGAAGAATAGACACTTCAACCTCCTCAAAAATCACTGCAGTTGGCTTTCCTGAATGTCTTCATGTTGAGAGATGCTATCTTTCACCATAATACTTGACCAGGTCTCAGCATATTTAAGCATCACAATAAGTGGCCTATGGCCTGCAGTTTGCAGGTCAAGGGTTCAGGGGAAAAAAAACAAACACTGGTGTACTTTCCATTAGTTACATAGCACTAGTATGGCATTGAAAAAGTGTAAAGATGATCACTGACCCAATACCATTTCTAAGCACTGTATATAAACACAAACTTTGTAAAAAGTGTCAGCTATTCCAGAACACCTATAGTAAGGAATCTTAAAAATTCAAGTTTTTACTTTAAATTTTTCCAATGAGTTTCCAATTATCGTAGGTTTCAGGTTCTGTTTCTAAAGTCCATTTAAATCTTCTACTTTAAATTTATCATCATTCTACTCCCATAGTAGCAAGATTTTTAAATACTGTTAAAATCAGAAGAGTAACCATGTAAAAGTGACACCTGTTTACTACATAGATCTAATGCAATAAATAGAGTTAATTTGGGCACTATCAAAATACATGTTAGAAAAAGTGTGTTTGACTTTTTGCCTCACAGTCTTCAAAAGCTAAGTACTGTGTCAGAGAAAATACCTTATCAATTTATATACAAAATAAACTTGATTGCTAACCAAGGTGCAACTACAGAATGCTCATTACTGCTCAAAGGCACATGACAGTTTGACATCTCAAATTTACATACACTTGTCCAACAGTTGAACATTTTAAGTTACATAATAGGGAATCAGAAATAAAAGCTGCAATTAGCAGCATTAGCCCTGCAAGCACCTGAATCCCTGATCATGCAGGAGGACACTGTTCCTATTTTTCAAGGGTGAGATATATGCCATCTCAACTGTGCCTCAACTGAAGGATGAAAAAGCACGAAACAAACCCAACAAGTATTGCTCTGCCACCATTACCCAAATTAAGAGTGTAGCAGCAGATCCTCTACTCCCCCTCTCTAGCAGCTAATGTACTAGCCACCATGAATGAACATCCTGCTCTTAACTTCATTACAATATGAAAACATTAAAACTACAGTCACTGACAGACTCCACATCCTCTTAATTTCCTAAGGGAAAAAGAAACTACTGTTTGAGTTTCTTCAGTATCTCACTGGCAGTGCCAGAATCAGATTCCCAAGCATTCCAAAGCTTCCCTTTACAGCCATTTGACAAAGGAGGATCAAGTGGTTGTTTCCAAAAGAGAAGCTGGAAATGGGAGAGACATTGCATGCACATCTATGAGGGAGAAAACAGGGGCAAAGCAGTAATTCTGTGATGGCTGAAACCAGTCTCTATAGAGTTAGAGAAAGCAGAAGTTTGCTGTAAGAGGCTTGAGAGCACCTCGGGCAAGCACTGGGCTGAGCACAGAACAGCAACACTCACACTAGCCTTTCACTGCTGTTCAGATGCAGAGTTTGGTAACTGACTCCTATCCCATCGCAGATCAGACAAACATTTCTCCTTCCATAATGGAGGGCAGAGAGAAGGGAAGAAAAATATTCCTTCTGCATTCAAAGCAATACTTTTATGAGAGAAGATAAAAAAACACATCCAGTTTTTGAATGGCACTGCTGAGGGCACGCAGCAGAGCTACTGACCGCACTCGCAGCACGAGGCAGGGCTCCAAACCCTCGCTGCACCCGAGTGTTCCTTGTAAATACTGTAAAAACAGTTAAATAAGTTTTCCAAGCCAGTAGATCATCTGGTCTGACCCACAGAGCAGAAGCCGCAGTATCACACAGCAATTCTTTAATCAAGCCTTTCCTTTGTTCGAGCCATTGAGGCTTATCTAGAACATCCTCTGAACCCAAGTTAGAGGCATATAATCAGTATATTGGTCTGATGACTATTTATTCTACTGTAAGTGGCGATGCCTCTGTTTTGGTTTAAATGTCTTGCTGTACTGCTTGGACCCTGGATCTTGTCATACTTTCTGCTAGATTAAGAGTCAGCTGACTATTGTCAGAAGCCTGCCTTGCCTTTACAGACAATTTTAGGGAGCTATGAATCAGTCTGCATGTCAAGTTTGAGTTTCTTTGGGACTGCAACCCCTTAAATAATTTTTGTCACTTTTTCTGTTCCCTGCTCACATTTAATTCTTCCCAAATGATGTTGTGCAGACAAATATTCCCACCAGGGCTTTATGCAGCAGCCACCTCCCTCAAGTCTATGCATCCTTCAAGAAAGGTTTGCTCCACAGGAATTTCACTATTCACATAACCAGGGAAATAAGTTATTTGTGGCAAAAAAAAAATCTTAGCCATGGTCAAGGGCAGTCCCAACACACACTCTGGCACAGATACCATTTTTAGCTTAGAAGAGGGATCCCCAAGAGAGACTCTCTGCTTCTGACACAGAATGTGACTCTTTAAAGTTAAGAATGATCTTACATTGTTATCTTCCTTAAGGATGTCCATTACTGCTTTAAGAATCTGTTCCTTTGCTCTCTTAACTGGTGGTACTTTGAAGAAATACCATATATAACCAAAGTTGCTACCTTATGAGAAACACAATGAGAGCTGCAGGAAGAAAGCAAATGCATAAGTAGCCGAATCTGCAGAGCAGAATTCAGAGAGCTCCAGCTACAGTC